CATCGGAGGAGTCTTTGGTTTTGGACGGTCTTCGTCGCGGCGCTGTGACGTATGCGGCCTTCGGAGGACCCGTCCTGCTGTTTTGGACACAGCCTATGTGGGGACTGCATTTGCCTCCAAGTACATTTCATTTATTTATTTTTCTCCTCATACAATTTTACTGTGTAATTTTCAGTAAAGTTATAATAATTATAGACACATGTTTGTTGTGTTTTCTTTCTGCGGGTGCAGAGGCAGACTATACATGTGTTGTCTTGTCTTCTTAGCTATTATCTCTCAGTTCCTTTTAAATCTTTATTCACCTTTCTCCTTTTGTTTTCTTTTTTTATTTAAAAACAATCGCAAGAATTTCTAAAAAAGATTTCACTATGTCAGCCTTTAGAGATCAGGGCAGCTGATTGCAAACATTGACAAATGAAAAAGAAAAAAAACCTACTGGTCTGCTGTGAGTCAGTAGCAGATAAGTTAACTCTGCTGGTTTATTCTGTAAACTTTCTGATGAATGAGTTTGTTCTTCAGTTTTTTACAGAGGCTGACAGAATCAGAACCAGCTGGGTTACCTTTCCTTCATACGGTATGCCCGGCCTGTATGATGAAGACACGTCCTCAAAGGAGATGGTTCTGATCTGACTGCTGATACTGACCGTCCCTGAGCCTTTAAGAACGACTCCTGGGACATTAAAAATACAGATTACAGTTCAGAGTCCAGTGCTGCTGATAAATGGAAGAGAAATAACATAAAACAAGACTTTGTCAGCCTACCTGTGCCAAATTCCTCCAGCTCAGCGTTTACCTCCAAGCTGTCAGAGAAGCTGTAGGTGTTGAGAGAAAAGCCTTGCAGGTCCACAGTTTCTGTAACACATCCACTGGCATCCGTCTGCATGAAGAGGAGCAGCTCAACACATGCAGCTCATCCAGACGARGAGGAATGACAGGAAGGAAACAAAACCAACTTACAGTCAGGGCATAGCTCTTACACAGGTCTTTATCTCGCTTTTCTGACATCCAGATAAAGCCGACGGCTCGTCTACAAATCTCTGCCTTTACCCGACCAGCGACTGGTTTTCCATACGTGTACCTGCAGGAAAACACACCAGTTTAACCTGAGTCATCACTGTGGAAAACAAAATGCAATGATTTTCAAATTTCAGATTTTGATCACAACAGAACATCACATGCTGAACTTGAGAATCAATCGTTTTTTCAAAGATCATTTTGAATTCAATTGCAGCAACAAAAGGTTTGGACAGATAACTAGTGGTACAAATTACCAGCTGGTAATTTTCAACCAATCAGGTTCACTGCTAACAGGTCAGAGGTCAGACTTCAATCATCGACACTTCAGAACATCTGAGTTCAAAGGCTGGAGGTCCAGACACTCAGTGGAGCTTTAAATCAGGCCTGGTTCTGTTCTGGACTCCAACTCTTTCACACATAATAGTCTGGAAACAAACTGCTTAAAGCTCTATCATACAAAAAATACCATTATAAGACCACCCAACCCATCATCAGACCACAAACATCCAGCAGAGACTCGGGGATCAACTACGATCCTCCAGACAGGAAATGAGTCAACAACAAACTCCGCCCCCACAGCATCTTACAGCTGCTGCAGCTTTCAGGGGTGTTGCTGCCAAGCTCACTTTTTAAGATTAACCGTGGTAGATAATTATCCAACACGTTTACATTAGGATAGTAGAAACACTGGGCCTCATGCAAGAACCGTTGGTACGCACAGATTTGTTCTTAAGTTGTGCGTACGAGTGATTTAGGAGAATTTGTGACATTCACCAATGTTTTCATATTCTAAGATTTTTTTCAGATACGAACAAAATTCAGGAGTGGTCCAGACCTGTCGTATATTTTACCAGCGGTCAGTCTGCTGTTATCCAGACGGAGAGGATTTGGCAAGGACAGATCCAGGGCGCAGGCAAGG